TTCCACCTAGTTTCTGGAGTATGTTGTTCCTAGTATTAATTTTTGCGGCCATGTTCTCTAGATGTATCTTATAAGAAAGAGTCCGATCCAATGTTATCCCGAGGTATTTTGGATACTTAACGTTTCTTAAATGGAAAATTAACTGCACAGGACTCAGTGGACTTCCTGGCAGTGAGAAGGATGCTGGAGATGAGGAGGGGAAATTTGGTATAGCTACAATATTAAACTAAAACCAAAATGAACCAGGCAACACTGATCTCACTAAATGCAAATGGACTAAGCTCATAAACGAAAGCAAATTTTTAATAAAACATTTAAAGTTGATTTTGCTTGTCTGCAAGAAATGCTTATAACATAAAACCATGTTAATTTGTTGAAACTAGACCAGGAATATACAGCATCAGGAAAGACAAAGAAAAATGGAATAGCAATTTATCTCAAATCACCTTCCTGGGAAGTACCAAAACAAGATAAAGAAGGAAGAATTTTAATCCTGAAATTAAGAAAAGAAGATAAGATTTTAACACTGGCACCCATTTATGCTACAAATAGAAATATGGAACAATTCTATGAAAGACTCTTCCAGATATTAATAGGAACTGCAGAGGAAATAATTATCACAGGAGACATGAATGGAGTGCTAGATCCAAACTCAGACAAATCATCCCCCTGCCTTAGACAAAAAAAAAAAAGGACAGTTCCCAATAAAGGTTTTTCAGTATATGGATATATTGGCTTTGACCAACACTTGAGATTAAAGAATCCAAAAGCAAGGGACTACACATTTTCCACGGGAAGATACCAAATGTACTCTCAAATTGATACGTGCTGGATCTCTAAGGCTCTCACACCATCTAACTGAAGAAATGCAGATTTGCTCAATGGCATATGCAAACCATGCCCCAATCCTAGTATTTTTGTTTCAGGGGAAAAAGTTACCTTTCAGATGGAGGATGAATGAGACATTGTATACTGCAGAAATGCAAAGAAGAATTAACGTTTTTTTAAAAAATAAATATGACTCCAGGATTGTCAGAGACAACTATGTGGGAGACAAGCAAGGCTTATATGAAAAGAAATGCAGCAAATCAGAAAATTCAGAATAATAAAATGAGATAGAAAAACATTGGAAGAGTTAAATAAAGTTAAGCAACAATTAAATTTATTGGAAATGACAGAACTTCAAAAGAAGATAAAATATGTCAAACAAAAACATTTTGAAAATGCAAACAAACCAGGGAAAATTCTGGCAGCTCAAATTAGAAAAGAGAAAGTAAGAAGGGTGATAACAATAAAGAGAACAAACTATTATATACAAGATCAGAAATAACAGAAGAACTTACCATTTTTTAAAGGAATAACATTCCAGGCATAAAATTGATGAAGGAAATTTGGAAACATATGTTGAAAACTCAGAGGCTAAAGAATTTACTGAAGAACATAGACAAATATTAAGCAAATTAATAACAACCCAAGAAATTAAGCAATAAAGAAAATGGCCCCATACAGAGTGTTGCTTGAAGGTTTGCGAACCCTTTTGAATTTTCAATATTTCTGCAGAAATATGTCCTAAAACATGACCAGTTCTCCACACAAGTCCTAAAACTAGATAAAGACAACCTTAATTAAACATGAGTCAAAAACATTAGACTTGTTCATTTATTCATTGAGGGAAATTACCCAAAGCTACGCATTTGTGTGTGGTAAAACTATGTGAACCTTTGCTTTCGGTAACCGGTGTGCCCTCCTTGGGCAGCAATAACTACTGTCAGAACCTCGCAATCAATTAACCAGCATTTTAGCTAGCTTGCTCAGTTCTGCCATAGTAGTAGTTGGGGGGGGGGGGGGTTGGGGGAATAGCCGTTAGAGCAGATGGCTTGTTATCTAGTTCTCAAGAATGCCAAGGTCGTACCAGCGTCAAAGCAGGAGAAGGCACCAGAAGGACCGAGGGGGTTAAGAACAGCTTCAGCTCAGGGAAGTTGGTGGCCTTCCTCGCACAAAGTGCCCACTGCAGGTCCTTCCTCAACATTTCCATTGGATGAAGCTCAGGACTTTTGAGCCCCCCTGTAATAAAAAGCCACTACTGAAGATGATGAATGAAATTCAAATAACAAAAATAATACCAAAGACTTGGGAAGAGGCATATTTTTGCATTAATACACAAAGAAGGGAAAGATTTGAAGAAATCCCAGTCATATAGACCAATTCTTTACTGAATGTTTATTACAAGTTATGCACTACTATATTTGTTGAACAAAGTACGTTTGCAAAATTATACATACAGATCAAAAAGGAAGATGAAAGCTAACCACAGATTTATCATAGATGTGCTAGAATTCATCAACACTAAGAAAAAGAAGGTAGCAGTAATATTTCTAAATGTGGAAAAAGCCTTGGAATTTGGAATGGACTTTTTTTATTAGAGGTCTTGAACAAAACGAATCCTGGAGGAGCATTCAAAACCTGAGTAGAAAGCATTCATCAGCGGCAAACAGCAAAAAGGACAGAGAATGGAACCTTTCAGTTAGCAGAGGTACAAGGGAAGCTTGTTTATAATTGCTCTGGAAGTCTGGACCAACAAGATCCGAAAAAATAAACAGATAATTGGGATCAAAACTCAAGGGATGAATGCAAGATGAAATCTGATGCAGATGCTGTAGTATTAACAATTATAAAACCACAAAGCACCATACAACAGTTGCTGAAAGTCTGTTAAAATTTTGGAATTCCTTAAAAGCAATTTAAGGAACAGGTCCAACAATTTCACCACTAGCATCACTGTCACAATCTTTTTACAGGTAGCCATAGTTTAGCGACCACAACTGGGACTGGCAGAACTGTTGTTAAGTGAAGCAGTCACTAACTGGGAAATCATGTGACCACAACTGTGCTTTCCTTTTCCCTCCTCTCCTGCCCTTTGGAATGCTCAGCCCAGCCCCAGTAACTGCTTGCCTGCCCTTTCTGCAAATCTTTCCCAATGGGAAAGTCAATCAGCAGGAGGTTAAAAATAACGATCACATGACTGCAGGACCCTGCGACTGTGCGGGATTCGCCTAACGACAGCAACTGGGACTGCCGGAACTGCCATTGTAAGTCAGCATGGTCACATGACGTTGCATCTTATGACTGCATCAGTTAGTGATGGAGTTCCCCATCCCAATTACTGTGGGTAAGCAAGGACTACCTGTATATGTTTCTACATGTCCAACAATTGTTCCATTGGGGAAAGAAGTTATTATGAGATTCAGTAATTTCAGATGTTTGTATTCTGAAGTTCATCCCTATCACATGGGAGTTGTCATCTGGACAAAGGAAGTGGATTTTCTGCACCTTACTTACAGCTAAGACTTATTGTTCAGCATTGGAAAGATAAACACAGGGCTCCAGCTATTCAGTGGTCTGCAGAATTTATCAGTATTAATTAGCTATGAATGACTTTAACAAATTATGGCTTCCATTTATTGAAATGTTTACTATACAACTTTATATGTATGTATGCCCTGTGTATATGCCCTTTGTATATGCCCTGTGTGTTTTTGTCTCTTTTTTGAGCTTCCTTTTTTTTTCTTTTATAATTTTGTGTATTCTTTTCAGTATTTAGTTAATTAAAAAGTACAAAAAGAAAAGAAAAAGAAAGCCTTGTAATTGCTATGTTATTGAATTGTTGCTATAAAACTACTTAACTTGTAGTAATTTTATATTTGAATAAAAGAGTTCATTGGTAATTAGAGTTCTTTCTTTTTTATACATTGTATAAGTACTTACTCTATAACATCCCCAGAGACATTTAATCTTTAAGAGGAAACGTGGCTCTGTCACTAGACCTGGGGATCCGGAGGTGTGACTGGGCCCGTTCAATGGTTGTATTGATTTGTCGATGGCTGCCGGGATATAAGAGTTGCCATTTCTTGGGGGGTTTTATGCTGGGTTGTTTTTTTTAATGGTTAGCCACCCAGAGTCATGAACATGAGATCATTTGAGGCTTCCAGTTCAGTCTCCTAGATCTGCCCTGCACCTTAGAAATCAGTGCCGTGCGGCACGCTGGTTGTGGTTCTGTTTCACTGTCTTTTCGTACTGGGCATCTTTTTCATGTTTCATGTGATCACGCAGCATGCAGGGGATCACCCAACACCATATGGTCAGGTGAGGATTTTGTAGCTAAGAAGAAAAGGAAGCAGAAGGGCTTGCAGGGGAGTTGGTAACGTAAGGGAAAAAAATCCCTAAATAAGGCTTTCCCGGCCTGTCCCAAGGAAGAAAAACTCAGTTTCTTGTGCTCCCCTCCTTTTCTTCCAAGGAACCGAGGGGCCACCAGCACTCACTCTGGGCAACAGGCTGAGTACGGAGGCCTTGGCCAAGCACACCTCGGAGGGCAGCCAGCACAGCTCCGAGTCCAAGACGGGGCCCCTCTCCACCGTCTCCCGGGGCTACAGAGGAAGTATGGCCGCAGCCAAAGGCAAGCCGGAAAGCCACCTATCTCAGAAGCAGCAGCAGCAGCAACAACAGCATCAGCAGCAGCAGCAGCAGCAGCAGCCTGATCAGCCTGGATCCCAGGTGAGAATCTGCCAGGCCAAGTCACATGTGCAGGTGGTCCTCACTTTCTGGCAGTAATTGGGACCGGCTACTCCATCGCTAAGCGGTGCAGTCATTAAGTGAACCATGCCGGGTCATTAAGGACAACATCACATGACTACTACTTGCAACTTCCTGCCAGCTTCCCCATTGACTTTGCTTCTCGGAAGCCAGCTGTGAAGGTTGCAAATGGCGATTGTGTGACCATGGGACATTGCAACTGTTGTAAGTGCATGCTGGTTGCCAAGCACCTGAATCACGCTCATGTGACTGTGGGGATGCTGCAGCAGCCGCAATTTTGAGGACTGGTTGTAAGTCTCCTTTTTCAGTGCCATTGTAACTTTGAATGGTCACTGAATGAGTAGTTGGTAAGCAAGGACTACCTGTATGAGAGTTCTCCTAACTGACACTTAGTAGTAGAATACTCCCAAACACCAGCCCTCATTAGAAGCTGTATCATCTTTTTTTTCCCATTTGAAATGGATAAGTTTGATCCTGTTGGACCCAAGGAAGTGGACAGGGTCCTCCGAGCTGTAAATGTCACCACCTGTCAATTAGATCCATGGCCCTCCTGGCTGGTTAAGGCAGCTCGGGAGGTGACATGTGGGTGGGTCCAGGTGATGATGAATTCATCCTTGAGGGAGGGAGTGTTTCCAGTTGCCTTTAAGGAGGCGCTGGTGCACCCCCTCCTCAAGAAACCATTGCTGGATCCCACCGTACTAGACAATTTTTGCTCAGTCTCCCATCTCCCTTTTTAGGGAAGGTGGTTGAGAAAGTGGTGACGCTGCAGCTCCAGAGGATCCTGGAGGAAACGGATTATCTGGACTCCTTTCAGTTGGGTTTCAGGCCTGGATGTGGGATGGAAATAGCATTGGTCACACTTCTGGATGATCTCTGGTGGGAGCAGGATGGGGTTAGTGCACCCATCCTGGCTCTTCTTGATCTCTCAGTGGCTTTCGATACCATCGACTATGGTATCCTTTTGGATCAGCTTGGGGAGTTAGAGGTGGGTGGCACAGTTTTGTGGTGGTTCACCTCCTTCCTCCAGGGCTGGTCCTGATCGGTGTTGATAGGGAGCGAGAGGTTCAGCCCACAGCCCCTCCTTTCGTGGTGCTGGGGGCTGCAGGGTCTGGATGGGGCACAACAGGCTTCAGCTGAACCCTGGTAAGATGGAGTGGTTGTGGGTTGGGGGCTCCTCTATATCTGGGAGTTTACCATCTTTGGTTCTGGATGGGGTTGCACTGCCCCAGACAGACCTGGTGTGGAATCTGGGGGTCCTCCTGGACTCATGACTCCTGCTTGAGGAGCAGGTGGCAGTCATGGCCAGGAGGGCCTTTGCTCAACTATGTGTTGTGTGCCAGTTATACCCTTTCCTGGATTGGGAGGCCCTCCAGTCAGTCATGCCCTAGTCATCTCCCGGATAGACTACTGCAATGTGTTCCACATGGAGGTACCCTTGAAGAGTATCCAGAAGCTACAGCTGGTTCAAAATGCAGCTGCATGGGCAATCTTGGGTGCCCCAAGGATGGCCCATGTTACATCTTTGCTCTGGGAGTGGCATTGGGACCCAGTTTGCTTCCAGGTCCAATTCAAGGTGTTGGTTATTACCTTTAAAGCTGTACATGGCATGGGACCAGTTGCTAATGAAAACATGTGACTGCAACTGACTTAATGTCACTTCCCATTTGGTCATTAAGCAAGTCATGGTAGATCATTAAGGAAGACATCACATAACTGCGGCTTGCAATTTTACTGCCACCTTCTCCATTGACTCTGTCAGAAGTCAGTTGTGAAGCACGCAAATGTTTTAATTAATAATTATAAATTATTAAAAACATTTAAAGCAAGAAAATAACACAAAGCAAAAAAGAGCAAAGATGGCAGAGATAACAAACCCGGATGGGAACAAAGAAAAAGAAGAAAGAGGGCTTTAATCACCCTCGCCAAAGGTCTGGGTATCAAAACACCAGTAGGGTGGAGGCCATTCAAATCAAAGGGAGAACCTCGTTCCAGAGAGCAGGCATGGGTACAGAGCAGGGATGCTTCTGGGATCCCAATAATGGCATTGTTTAATTGAACCTGGAAGCCTACCAACCCTGCCAGATTGGACTGGCCAGGTAGATACTATGGGAGACAAGTGCTTCTGCCAGTGACCAAGCCCTGTCCCTTTATAGGTAACTACCAGCACCTTGAATTACACCTAGAAGCAAACTGGCAACCAGTGCAGCACGTGAAGCACAGGTGTTACAGGGGCATACCGAAGCATGCCCATCACTGCCTGTGCTGCTGCATTTTGGACCAGTTGAAGCTTCCAAGTGGTCTTCAAGGGCAGCCTGATGTAGAGCACATTGCAGTCGTCAAGCCGTGAGGGGACCAGGGCATAAGTGACTGTCTGAATGGCCCCCTTATCTAGGAAAGGACATAACTGGTGCACCAGATGAAGCTGTGCAAAGGCCTTCTTGACCATAGCTGCCACCTGCTCATCAAGCAGGAGCTGTGAGTTCAGGAAGACCCCCACATTGCACATCATTTTTGAATGGGGAAGTGGCATCCCATCCAAGGTCAAAGATGAAATATCCCCTGATCTGGGTGATCCAAACACCCATAGACATTTAGTCTTGGTAGGATTGAGTCAGAGACAATTCCACTCCACCTAAACCCTCAGAGCCTCCAACCACTGGGACAGAACCTCAACAGCCTCACTTGGCTGGCCTGGAATCAAAAGATATAATCAGGTATCATCAGCATACTGATGATATCGAACCCCAAACTGGGATTACCTCACCCAATAGTTTCATGTAGATTTTAAAAGGAGGGAGAAAGAACCCTGTGGCACCCCACAAAGGAGGAGCCTGGGAAACAACTTCTCCCCACTTACCAACATCAGCTGAAACAGGACCCAGAGAAAGGAAGAGAACCACCATAAAATTGTGCCCTTGATCCCCAACCCATGGAGCCAGCTCAGAAAGATACCATGGTTGACGGAATTGAAAGCCATCAAGAGATCAAGGAGCGTAAGGATGGATGCACCATTGTTATCCCCGCTCTGCCACAGGTCATCAACAAGTGCGACCAAAGCTGTCTCAGTACTAAATCCCAGTCTGAAATCTGACTGAAACGGGTCTAGATAATCTGTTTCCTCCAGGGTTCTCATCAGCTGCAGGCTGACCACCTTCTCACCAATCTTCCCCAGAAAGGGAAGGTTGGAACTGTTCGATAGTTATCAAAGACTGTTGGGTTCAAGGATGGCCTTTTGAGAAGGGGCACACCACTGCCTTTTTCAAGGCTGGGGGCACCACCCCCTCCTTCAGAGAGGCCGACACAACAGCATGGACCCAACTGCAAGTCACCTCCCTGGCCACTTTCACGACCCAGGAGTTTTCCATTGTTTTGCTAGCATGTGAAATTAAGGATATTGTACGATAGTTTGCACACTCTGTTAAGTTTCCTTTTTTTGATATTGGAATGTAGATTGGCCTCTTCCAATCTGTTGGCCACTGTGTTGTTCTCCAGTTTTGCTGACATAGCTTGGTTAGAACCTTTACTGATTTGTTTTCTGTTGCTTGCCATAGTTCTGTGACTATTCCATCAGTTCCTGTAGCCTTCCAAATTGGTAACAACAGAGTGCTGATCTAACTTCTAGTACTAGAGGGTCTTGTAAGTAGGGAATATCTTCTGAGGTATCTTAGATGTTGACAACTCCTGTATAGTGTTTCAGTATACTCCTTCCATCTTCCTTTGATCTCCTTTGAATTGGTTACTATCTGAGGTTGGACCTTCTGTGCTCAGAGATCTTTTGAACAACTTTTCTTGTTTTTCCATGTCTGTTTCCATCTTCTATGTTTTTACAGATGTTGTAATACTGCTTCCTGTCTCTTTTAACAGCTCTCTGAAACTCTTTGTTAAGTTCCTTTCTGAGATTTTTGTCTTTCCTGGCTTTGACTTCTCTTTTTGGCAATTTCCATGGTTTGTTCCAACATCCAGTTTGCTTTCTTCTCTTTCTTCAGTTTTGGCAGTCTCTTTTCACGTTCATCCTTAACAACTTCTTTAAGTGAATTCCATAATTCCTCTGGTTCTCTATCAATGAAGTTCAGGAATGCAAAGCAATTCCTGATGTTCTTGAAAATAATAATTACAATAGCTATTTTCTTGTCTGATACACCCTTGGGCTACATATCATTTACATTTTTTCACCTTATATATGTGTTTCTTGAAAAAATATTACTGATCTTCATTATGTGTGTGTGTGTGTGTGTGTGTGTGTGTTCTTTTACGTAGGGAAAGTTCAGAGGTTAAACATGAAAGATTTGTTTAAATATTCCATAATTTATTTTCAGTAGCCTACATTATAAATTTAAAATCAAATTAAACTAAGAAAAAAAATTGGAAAATTATTAAGTGATGGGCCTTTATAATTTCCAACAAAAGTACACCTTGATCATTAAAATAAGGAGCCATTCTCATTTCTAGTTCCTACATTCCTTTCATTGCAGGCAAATGTACATTTCTCTGTGAGCAGAACTTTGATCCTGGCTGTTTGGGCCTGAATTCCTCCATATGAGGTGGCCTTTGTTTTACTTTGAGTTGTACCACTTTTTTTAAAAAACTAATGAATTGGGTGGGGGGACCTCCTAGGATTTCTTTTTGTGTTCACTTGGCCTGTCAGTCCTGCATACTGTTTTGGTATATCCTGCATATCCATGTTCAAATTCTAGGAGTCTTCCTGGAAAACCATCAAGTTTGGTCATCCTTATTCTTTGTGGATGCCTCTTACAGTAATTTAGATTTTCTTATATCAGGATCTAATTTCTCTATTCTACTTTTAGATTTGTTAGGCAATTATGAAAAGATTTAGATTAATCTTCTCATCTTTAAAAATTATTTGTGTCTTCAAATTTGTGTTTTCAAATCCCCTGGCATCATAATTTGTAACTTGATTTCTGTCATCCTATTTTCAAATGCTTTCATTGATTTTCAAGTCCTTACACTGCCTACTCTTTTTCTTCATTTCTGAAAGCAGTTTAGAAAACAGTTTCCGTTGGTTAACAGTTTTAATCATTTTTCTCTCCAAATCCTAAAATTCATCCTGGAAAGGATATATTTAATATCTTCTATGTTTAAAGTGAATTACAAAACACTGTCTTCATTTGTGTCCCTACTTCTTTATTTCTTTTTGGGCTTTTCTGAAATGGTTCTGAGTCTTCATTATGGACAATCATCTGTATGACAGAATGAGTTAAGTATTGTTCCCTTTTATATCATAATTAATTAATTAATTAATTAATATTGTTCTTCTATAACCAAAGATTAATAAATCATTTCATGAAAATAGCATATTGTAATATAGGGCAAAACAGGTAGTACAGCATTATAAAAAATATATTAAATTGTTAACTAAAAAAAAATGAATGTCCAAAGTTTTGAGCACTAGTTCCTTAGTGATCTTTTAATTTTCTAACCCCCTTCCAGGTGCCCTCCAGTCCTATTCCCAGTGCCCCCATCCAGCGACGCCTCAGTGTCAGTGCCAGCGGGGCTGGGGATTATGGGCTGATGAGTTGTGTGCTTCCAGATGAGCTTTTGGTGGAGATTCTTTCGGAGAGGATGCAGGTAATTGGACCCAGAAAGAGAAACTAAGGAGGGCGTCAAGGCACGACAGGTCATAGAAATATTTGAGAACCACCAAGTGAGCTTTACAGTTCCTTTTAGAGTTGTGGACGTAGCTTGCTTGCTTGCTTGCTTGCTTGCTTGCTTGCTTGCTTGATTTATTTATTTATTTATTTATTTAAAAAAGGTTCCTATTCCTATTTAATCAAATCCTACTTGCTTAAAGGATCAGTGCATAGTAGCAGTTGGCAACTTCTGGGGATGGTCTGTCATCTATCTTGAGACCATTAATGAGCTACCCGTGGTGCTCGTGCTACCTTACTGAGTTTTATAATGCAAATCTTATACCTTCTGGCTATAAAGGATCACCACTTTCAGGATTCATAGCAGAGACCTAACGCAGCATCTGCAAGTTGTAGCACTCCCACACATATAGTCAAAAGTATGGATCTGTTATGTAGATGATACTTTTGTCATTATAAAAAAAAAAAAGAACAACTGGAGAAGACACGAGACAATCAACATCTTCAAAGGCATAACATTCACAAGGGAAGAAGACAACAACACACTACCCTTCCCTGATATCCTCATCAGCAGAGGAAATGATGGCAAATTAGAAATCCAAGTCTATCAGAAAACAACCCACACTAACCAAGTGCTCCACTGTCAAAGTAACAACCCAACCTCCCACAAAAGGAGCTGTGTAAGAACATTATTCAGATGAGCACAAACACACTGCAGCAACCCAGAACACCAGAAAAAGGAAACAGATTGCCTGTACAACATCTTCCAACAGAATGGATACCCATGCAACTTTATCAAAAAGTGCCTGACCACACAACATGCTATAGCACAACCTGTGCAACCTATGAAAAGGATAACACTCCCATACACCAAAAATGTTTCAGAAACAACCAACAGATTACTACAACTACTCCACATCACTGTAGTGCACAAACCAACTAAAGCCCTTCCAAACATCCTAAGCAAACCAAAAAACCCAGTAGCCCAAGAAGAAAAAACAGGAGTACAGAATACTCTAATCAAGGAACCAGCAAGGAGGAAACCACACCTCCACCAAAACTGGCAGGGCAAGCTACTATACATACAGTGGTGCTAAAAAGTTTGTGAACCCTTTTGAATTTTCAATATTTCTGCATAAATATGACCTAAAATGTGATCTCCGCACAAATCCTAAAACTAGATAAAGAGAACCCAATTAAAGAAATGTCAAAAACAGTATACTTGTTCACTGATTTGAGGAAAATGATCCAAAGTTCTCTAGGATCCAAATATCTCTAGGATTATCAGTTCATTTGACAGAGAAATTAGAGTCAGGTGCTTCAATTGTTGGGATGATAATCGGGGGAGAGTGGGAGGTCCTGCCTTATTTAAAGAACAGAATTCTGGGTATTCACTATCAAAGTCTGACCTTCACCACATAGAGATGTGGAAGTGTGTCACGGCTTGAACAAAGGAGATTTCTGAGGACCTCCGAAAAACAGTTCTTGATGCTCACCATGCTGGAAAAGATTACAGAACTATTTCTAAAGAGTTTGGACTCCACCAGTCCACTGTCAGGCAGAATGTGTACAAATGGAGACAATACAACACCACTGTTACCCTCCCCAAGAATGGTCGACCAACCAAGATCACACCAGGAGCAAGGTGTGTAATACTCCAGGAGGTCTCAAAGAACCTCAGGGTAATGTCTAAGGAACTAAAGGCTTCTCTTGCATTGGTGAATGTCAGCATTCATGAGACCACCATCAAGGGGATACTGAACAACAATAGTGTGTGTGGCAGGGTTGCAAGGAGAAAGCTGCTACTCTCCAAAAAGAACTTTGCTGCCCATCTATATTTTAGGAAAGACCATGTGGATAAGCTAGAAGGCTACTGGAAGAATGTTCTGTGGACAGATGAGACCAAAATAGAACTTTTTGCCTTGAATTACTTTTGGCGAAAGGAAAACACTGCACTCCAGCATAAGAACTTTATCCCATCTATAAATGCTATAAACAAACAAACAAACAAATCAGAAGAAAGTTAATGTTTTGGAATGACCAAGTCCAAGTCCTGAGCTTCATCCAATGGAAATGTTGTGGAAGGACCTGCAATGGACATTTTGTGCGAGGAAGACCACCAACATCCCTGAGCTGAAGCTGTTCCGTAAGGAGGAACAAGCTAAAATTCCTCCAAGGCAATTTGGACTGATCAACAGTTATCGGAAATGTTTAGTTGTAGTTATTGCTGCCCAAGGAGGGCACACCAGTTACCGAAAGCAAAGGTTCACATACTTTTACCACACACAAATATGTAGCTTTGGGTCATTTCCCTCAATGAATAAATGAACAAGTCTAATGTTTTTGACTCATATGTTTAATTAAGGTTCTCTTTATCTAGTTTTAGGACTTGTGTGGAGAACTGATCATGTTTTAGGTCATATTTCTGCAGAAATATTGAAAATTCAAAAGGGTTCACAAACTTCTAAGCAACGCCGTAAATAGGCAGCAAACCCCACACTCATTCGCACTGATAATGTTGCCTAGTTGGTTAATGAAATGTCTGCAAGCAAGCAACCAAAATCAGGGAACACCAAGAACTCCACAAACCCAATCAAAACACTGAGAGTTTTGGAAATAGCTGGGGAGGAGGAGGGTTTACTACAGGGATGGGTGGTCATCAACTGAGATAATTCTACCTATACATAGGCTTTGTTGTGGTTGGGGAGCAAGAATTAATAGAATTGGATTTGAAGTGCAAAGTGTTTTTCTAATTCTAATTCTAACCCTATTGTACTTGAGGATAAACTAGACCCAGTTAAATGAATATGGCGTAAAGCAGTAGTTAGGCTTGATATTGGGTTTTTCCAAGAGATGATGGCATAACCAGAAATACGTTGGATTCGTTCATAAGGATAGATGCCCTCTGGGTTCTACTGCAAGGTGAGATATTTCCCTAGAAAAAAGTACCTGGACTTAAGAAGTGAGATACCAATAGAAGGCTACTGTCAGATTCAGCCCAAGAAACTCCACGAGACAGTACTGGAACAGCTCAGTTACTTTATCAGCTCACACCTGCTAGACAGAATCTCGCTAGTCTAACTCTAAACTCCCAAAGCCTGCAACTAAACACTACGAATTCCTTAGGGTGGTGCCAGTCTCATCCTCTTTAGTCTAACTCTAAACTCCCAAAGCCTGCAACTAAACACTACGAATTCCTTAGGGTGGTGCCAGTCTCATCCTCTTTAGTCTAACTCTAAACTCCCAAAGCCTGCAACTAAACACTACGAATTCCTTAGGGTGGTGCCAGTCTCATCCTCTTCGCTTTCCCAGGCTCAGGCTGTGGGCTGAGGAAATGCTTCTGTCCTTGAACCTCCATCACAGCTACTGCTTTCTGTAAACAGAGGGGAAATGATACACAAAGGCTCGAGCAATTTGTAAGCCCCCATAAAAGATTACATCATTAGAAGCATGAGACCTTGTATCACAAAACCTATAGCAGCTTCCAGTCTGCTGTTCTGTGCTGCGGAGGTAGTTTTCTGAATGCCAAAACCATAGCAAGGGATGAGTCCTGCAACCCTTCTAGATCACTCAAAAGCAATCTATGTCTGGTCAAATAATTGACTTGGGTTTCTTAACTTTGTGTTTCCTTCTGTGTGGGCTCAAGAAAATGGGTATTCTTATGGGAAGCAAACAAATCTCTGTTTGCTTCCTTGCATTTCTGGAGGACTCTATATAAGTTGACTTCACCTGCCATTGAAATCCATGACTTTCACTTGCATTAGCAGGATCTGTGCACAGCAGTGCCACAGTGTAGGCTGGACCTAAGTGTAGTGTGCTTCCATTTTTGGACAGCTGAGTGATTGCTATCGTGGCATGGTGTTCGATGGGTTGGAAACTATGTTTGCCCGCAACGTGATATCAGCACTCCTCTGCCTACTCAAAGCTATCAACAACCGGCGATATATCTATTTTGTGAACCTCTTCCAGGATTTTGCTGCTATGAAAGCTAGAGAAAAAAGCAAGCAAGAGGAGGAAGGTAAGAATGATGTGAATATGGTTTTTGTGGGCCCATCCCAATCATTCTTTTTTGTTTTTTATTCCTAGTCACATTCCATCTTCCCAGTAACTTGCCTTACTCACCTGTATGTTCTTTTTATAATAAATCTAATGGGATGGGAAATCAGGCATTGCGGATGTGGCCTCAGTGGCCAGATTGAGGCATCTCTTTTTCTTCTTGGTCCCTGTGGAAGAATGGGAACAGCAGGAAGCTATTGCAAGAGAGAAGGCTCGTCTTCAGGAAATGGATGAAGAGGAATATGATGCTCTTACTGAAGAACAAAAAATCCAGTTTGATGGTGAACTGTTGCAGGCATTACGGGAGAGAAAAAGAAGGTTAGGAAACTCTTCCCTTGCAGGTCTGGGAATTTGCTTGGTTCCCACAGAGGAAGATGAGTTGTGGTTTTGTAGCCATGCATAGGATGTGTCTCTTAATTTCTTTCGTCATTATACCAGAAAACCAAAACTGTGGACCTTAATCTAGAGAAAAAAACTAGTAGAATTAGTTGTGGAATGTTTAATAGACATTTGTGTAGGTTATTAAACATTGTTCTGCTTGTTCAATGCATGGAAGGGAGCTGGAGAAGCTGGCTCGAGAGCTGGAGGAAAAGAAACATCAGCAAGAACTGGAGCGCCTGCGGGAGGAAGAGGAGATGAAAAAGAAATCCAAGCGATATAAGAGGGATGGGGGAAAAGAGAAAGAAGAGGCAGCAGGAAAAAAGGCCCAGCAAGGAGGGAAGCAAGTAAGTGTCAAGGGTAGTCCTGTCCAATCGCTGCATCACTGCCAGCCCCAGTCCAGGGAGTCAACTCCACAGGATGGCTAAAATTACTCCTACTGAGATTGGCTATAATAACAGAATTTTGCAAGTCTGATGGTGCTGGACCTCCTCCTCTTTCTTGTAGTGCAGTGAAGGGGACCGGTGTCTGAGCTGAACATCATCTGGATGTTCTGGACTTAATACAAGCTTTAGCTCCATTTGCCTAGGCAACAAAGCCTGTATATTTCCATCGGGGTCATCATCCTTACTCTCTATACCAGCTGACGGGCAACTCACACACCATTATATTTTGGATCACTAAGTTAATGCAGCTGATGGAGCAGTCCAGATGGCTTTGTTCCCTAAATTGTTGTTACTAATGACCACACAGAGGAAAAGTAGCTTGTAAGTTTCAGGAATGAAGCCAGCCCTGGGTGCTCCCCTCATTGCATGTCAGTTTCTTTAGTCAAGAAACTCAGGTCCTGGAAAGCATGGGAGCCTGGCTCGCGCAGATTCTTTTCCTTGGCATAAGTCTGGGACTAACTGCAGCCAGGAGGAACAGCTCAAGGCTTCCTTCCTTTTCATCATCACAGAATCCCACCATATCAGCTTACAAATCAGATGGGAGGTTGAATGAAGGGATAGAGCGAAAATCTTCTGCAAAGGAGCGTCCAGATGGGAGCGTCAATGACAAAGAGGAGAAGAAAAAGAAGAGTAGAATGGCCCTGCAAAATGGCCAGCCAGGGGTGGTGCTTCTTCCAGCCCAGGAAGAGGAGGAAGCAGAAAAGGACATGAGTGAGAGTGAGAAAAGCTTGGCACAGCGGTTCAAGCTGTACGAGGCCACCCAGAAAGAGATTGTTCAGATCCTGGCCTTCTGGGACAGGGTTCAGTTGGTTCAGCTGCAGCCGCCAGGCTCTGAGGATAAGCAGGAAGAAGCTGAGGATCAGCGCCAGGCTCCGTCCGGCCGCAAAGGCAGGAAGGATCGGGAAAGAGAGCGCCAGGAGAGACTGGAGAAGGAGAGGGCAGAGAAGGAGCGTCTGGAAAAGGAGAAAGCAGAGAGAGAACGTCTGGAAAGGCTCAAGGCAATAGAGGATAGCAGAATTGCTGGACTGGAGGGAGAAGGAGGAGAAGGCGCCGAGAAGGACATTGGAATCCCGTCCTTGGAAATTCACGTGCTCAGTTCTGAGGACTCCAGTGGCAAGAGGATCCTGGAAAGTGGCAAGTTGCCCAATGTAATCCAGGTGAGCCTTAGTTGATCTGCACAGTGTATAGGCCAGGCTCAGTCTGCCCAAGGAGGGGTTGCAGTGGAACAGGCTGGAGGCAATGTTAAGGGGGTCTGAACAGGGATTCACACAATTAGCTGCGGAGGAAAAGTGCCCATGAAACCTTAGTGCAAGGGACATCCAGTTAGACTGAGAAAATGCTTGTAACTCTGAAAGGCCAACAGATTAGTGCTTTGTCTTTTTACAAGCTATGTACGTATGTATGGGTATGAGTATGGGTATGGTTGGGGGAGGGGGGAGGAAATGTCCTGTTTCTGCTAAAGACTCAGAAACCACCAAGTGGGAATCAGCCTCCAGATATTTTGCCCCCTGCTTTTCTCTAAGCTAATTTGCCATCTAAGAGCCATTTCAGAATCTGTGAGCTTATGGCTCCTGAATCATTGGCCCCTTGGCTTGTTTAACTGTTGAGGGCTGGCTGGCCAGCCAGTGCAGAGCTTCCATCCAACTGCTAGAAAAATCAAACCTGACTCCTAGGATGGTTCAGCTTGTCTTCTATGGCTGTCCCTAAGTAAGTTGATAAAGCTTTGGGATAAAACTAGAAACAAATGGTTCAGTTTGTGTGTGTGAGTGTGAGTTTTGCAATGTAATTAAGCACTGCATGGAAGTGATAAGCTTACTTTATTCCTTGCTCTAGATCTTGAATGGTTTGGGGCTGGGCCCTTCAGGGCCACCCATTCCTCCCACAGCCTTTTTCTCTGTGATCCCATACCCGGAGAAGCGACCAGCACAAGTTGCCTCAGAATCTCTCAAGCACTTCACCTTCATCATCCCAGAAGAACTGAGTGCAGAGGAGGAGAAGAAGGATGTGGAGAGTGGTGTGGAGATTCCAGTGAGTCTCCCTGTGGCAAAGGTATGGAGTTGCTGCATGGGGTAGTTTACTTAACTGATGCCAATGTTGCTTTTTACGGTATTTATCACTCCAAATCCTGCCAGTAAAGATTCTGGATAAATTGGTCCCATCTATCTGTCTTCATCAGTACCTCTCCATTCTCTTACCTTTAGTCTCACAGTTCAGGACAATGACCAAATGGGGTGGGTTCAGAGGATGGGCACCAAGATGGTGAAGGGTTTGGACACCAGCCCCTCTAAGGAATGCTTGAAGGAGTTGGGTAATTTAGTTTGCAGAAAAGGAGACTTAGGGAAAATATGATGTCCCAGTTTCCTTTCTGGTGCAAGTCAAGGTGCTGGCTATTACCTTTTGTTGTGAGAAACACAACATTTCAAAGCCCTATATGGCACAGGGTTGGGTTATCTGAGGGACTGCCTCTCCCTGAGGATATCTGCCTGTCCCACCAGGTCAGATAGGGTGGGCATGTTCCAGGTCCCCTCTATTAAATAAGGTGATGTGGCAGGAACTAGGAGTTGGGCCTTCCTTGTAGTGGCCCCTGCCCTGTGGTACAGAAGCCCTGAGACCCAGAAGGCCCCAACCCTCTTGGCCTTCCAGAAGCCCATTAAGACCAGGTTCTTTCTCCCACGCATTGGGCCAGGATGGGGGTGAGTCCAGTACATTTGGAATACGAGTATTATGGCGCCTTGGTTGTGTTCAGTGGTTTAAATTTTCTAATGTTTTGTTATTTTTGTATGTTGCTGTTGTGAGCTGCCCAGAGTTATGTTGTAAAGATGGTGGCCATATCAACCTTTTTATAAATAAATATAAATATAAATAAATAAATGTGCTGAAGGCTTGATCCTTTCCCCAGAATGAGAGGGAAGGAAACAATGGTTTCTGAAAAGGTTGCTCTTAGTCAGCTGCTCCCTTTAGTACCTTCACCCAAGCACATACAGTAGCAGAAATTTATACAGCCATCAAATAAAACATAGGCTACACCACAACTAGCATTATTAATCCTAGCTTGCAGTCCAAATCCCTTAAATTCTGGTTTGTTGTTGGCTGGAGCTTTGCCAGGGCTGGAGCTTTGCCAGGGGGCTTGGAGGCAGCCTGTAAGGAGGAAAAACACAGATCCCTAAGACAAGGACAAAAAGAAAACTCTTGAAGCTGCCAAAGACAAGAGCCCCAGTGTGCCAGCCAGGGGCTCCATTCGTGCCCTGCCAAGGGCCTTCTTTCACAAAAGAACCCCAGCGCATAAAAAAGGTGCCAGCTGCATGAAAGAAAGCCCTGGGTAGGGAGTGAACAGAAGCCCTTGTCAGCCTTCCCAGGTAGACCAGACAGGAAACATGACCAGAGATGCTAATTCTATTTTATTGTAAGGCTACATTAACAGAATCTTATAAGTCTGAAAGTACAAATCTCCTGCCATCTCCTTTACAGCCTGAGAAGCTAGGGAGGGTCCCTTCTAAGCCTCTTGCTCTGTCCACTATCTAGCTGTGGGCTTTGTCCTCTCTTATCTCACCATTCCCTAGGCAGCATCTCTTCTCCCTGTCTCCCAAGGTCTTTCCCACATACCATTACATCACCTTCCACTTCAGATGTATCCTCCACTCTGAGTTCCCAGGGGAAACAGATTGTGGGCTATGAGAATGAAATGTAGCTGTGTCACTCCCCTGTTTTGTTGGTAACTCCCTGAGATTGACTATGCAAAAGCCTTTGACTGTGTGGATCACAACAAACTGTGGCAAATTCTTAAAG